AACTAGACTGAAGAACAAAAGGACAGCAACTTGTCTGTTCCCCTTCCCCAATTTCCCAATGCTGTTCCATCCTCCATTTCCCCCAATTAAAAAATAAATAATAAATAATAATAAAAAAAATCTCATTAGTTTCTGGCAAGTAGATATCTTCTATGACCTTCCATTGCTGTTGTTATTATAGGTCTAGTTAAGATTATGATAAAAGATTATGATAAGGCTAAATTTTTTTAAAAACTGTATTTTAAAATAAAAAGGTATTTTAGGATTCAAAAGCCACCCAGTTTAATTAATTAAGACCTGACTGATGAAAATTAACATTTTTGATTGTTAGATCTTTCTGGGAAAGAGCCTGTTTCTACTATTGATAGATTATAGTTAGGTCTATAAAAATGTTTTTGTTTTTATTTTAATTGTGTTTAGTATATTCAGAGGCCAAATAAACAGTTTTCTAAAACTGTGGATTGAAAAAAAAATAAAATAAAACTGTGGATTGAAACTTGTTAAAAATAGATTACTGTTTATTCTGGTTCATTTGGTTTATTCGAAACATTCAACAAACGTTGATCAAGTGCCTCCTATGTGCCGATCTCCTGGGTGAGGACCCTGCTCCTGTTGCCCCCGCCATCCACTAATAGGAGTAGGCAGCCAGCAGTTGACTTGGTGAACAATACAGTGTGTCAGATGTTGATAAATGGAAAATGGAAAAAGAATAATAGAGGAAAGGGAATAGAAAGTGCTAGGGTCGGGGTGGAGTGGAGGGGGACAGGTTACAATTTCAAATAGGAGGTTCATGGTAAGCCCCATCGAGAAGGTAACATTTGAGGAAAAGACTTGAAGTTGTTGAGGGAGTTAGCCATATGGTATCTGGGGAAGGAGTGTGAGGAAGAAGAAAGCCAGAGCAAATGCCCTAAGAGAGCAGCAGACCTGGTATGCTTGAGGAATTCAAGGAAGCTAGAGTGGCCAGAGCAGCGTCATTCTAATGTAGGAACCCAAATCATGTAGGGTAATATAGGCCGCTGGGAGATGGGAAACCATGGGAGCGATTTGAACAGAAGGGTGACGTGATCTGACTTTTATTTTAAAGCATCACTCTGGCCGCTGTTTTGAGAAACCAGAGTAACCAGTTTTGATAATAGACTTGGTGGGGAGGGGACAACTATTGCAGTAATTCTAGCAAGAGACAGAGTGGTTAGAGAAGTAGTGGATAAGCTGACTGGTAGTCAGATTCTGGATATGTTTTCAAGGTAGAGAAAACAATATTTCGTGAAATATTTGATGTTGGGTGTGAAAGAAAGGGAAGTTTTTGGTCTGAGTAAGTGGAAGTATGGAATTGCTATCAAATAAGATCGGGAACTCTGTGGCTGGGAGAGATTGGGAGTTTGATTTTGTATGTTTAGTTTAGGATATTATTTAGACTTCCTAATGGAAATATAGAGTGAGCAGTTGGATATATGAGTCTTGAGTTCCATTGAGAGTTCTGAGCTAACACATAACATTATAGGGTTATATGATTATTTCACGAGTATAGTAAGTATAATATATATAACATTATTCTTTAAATATTCTTCTCAAATAGTGAAAATTAATGATTGAATTTCTTTTCTACTATAAGCTCGGTTTCCTTTTTAAAGAATTTAAAAGCTAACAAAGAATTTATAAACTAAATTGTTTTAAATTTTGGGTGCAGGTTGATTGATAAGTTTATAAGTGCTCTTTATAAGTCTTGTAAAATATAAAAGATCATTTGTTGATGAGCACATGCCAAAAATGTAACATTTTTGAAATGAAAAGATCATTGAAGACTTATATAATCTCTTAATAATAATCTTCTCTTACTACATTAATTAATAAGAAATTTTTTTGTGATTCATTTTGTGATTCAATCCTAATCAAATTCAGAAAATTTGATGAAAATGAGGGGTCTCAATTATAGAGTTTTGGTGCTTAATTTACTAAAAGTCACTCAAGTCTTTCAGGTTTTTTTTTTCTATGTCTTTAAAAAGAGAAATTTAATATTATTACCCAGAAAATTGAATTGATCACTGTCTCTTAGATACGATATTTTGTGTGACATATATCTAATGAATAAGCAGTAACTTTTTAAAATTAGTGATACTAAGGATAAAATGGTTATGTCATTCATTGACATAATAGTGAATTGACTTAGAGTGTTCAATATTTTATTTAAAAAGGCTGTTTCATTTGTTTCACTCTGTTTAGAAAAGGAAGACCAGTGTCTCATGCCTGAAGCTTGGAATGTGGACCAGGGAGTAATTACCAAACTCAAGGAACAATACAAAAAGGAGAGAAAGGGGAAAAAAGGGGTGAAGAGTAAGTGGAAAACATTGTACCTATAATTCATAAATCTTGCCTCTTTCATATCCCCCAATTTATTTTCAATGTTTTCCTGAAACTACTTACTCTTGTTCTTTTCTGCTCCTGACCTCTTTCCGTTTCACCTGCTCTCAGGGGTTGAAATTAAATGGTTTGCTATTTAATTACGAACTTTAAAAAAAAACCATAACTGTGCATATGATTATGGGATTACAGTATGTCCCAATAATAAATCCAGAGCCTCATGAGAGTATGGAACTCTATATTCCAACATAGTGATAATCTGGTTTTTTAAAATATATGTGCTTAATTACAATAATGATTTTTCACTGTTGACAACAGTAGACAATTTTAAATCTCATCTAGTATGACCCTCTCTCAGTCCACCAGAATTATTGCTTATAATTTCATAAACTGGAGACAGAAAGAAAGTTAATTTCTACCCCTGAATATTGTATGTGTTCATAGCACACAGTTCATTTGTTCTCTCCACTATATGCTATACAGGGCACACAGTCAAACACATGAATTCTAAAAGTATTTTCTAATTAAAACTTTTGACCAGTTTCATTTATAATATTACCAATTAGCTTTTTCCTTTTCAATAAAATGTGTGTTACATAAAAAACAGAACTAAAATGAAATTTCTAGCCCTGTGAATCATATACGAGTATATATAATTCATTATGCAAATTATTAATGAAGTTTAGCATAGATCTTGTGAAGCATGTAAAATGGAAATCCAAAAGCTTTCAAACATCCCTGAAAACCTTCTTATACACATTTTTAGGAGGGCAAGATTAACCCATCTCCTTGTGCTTCTCCTCTCCTTGAAAATATGAACATGGGTCTCCCTTTTATGGCCATAGGAGTTTTTTCCATTGGGATAGTAAAGTAGTGTAAAGTGAGATTAAAATCCAATGTAAGGAAACGTGTGTTTAAGAGTTGCAAAAGACTAGAAGGACATACTTTTTCTTTTTCCCTTTATTTTATAGTGATCCTAAGGCTTATCAAAGACCAGTCATTCCTGTTAGGTTAGTCTTTTACAACCTGGTAGTTACTGAGAAACATATAAATCTTTATTTAAAACATCTTAGAATTTACAAGTATATAACTTGAATGGGTACAAGTCAGTGACCATTATTGATGATGTCATTCGATGCCTTCTCAATATAAATTAAATCAATATAAATATTAAAGCATAAGAATATTTTGTACCTTTTATCTAAATATACTGATAAAAACATTTAATCTGAACAAACAGTAGTGAGGCATGATTTGTTAGGCTTTTCAGAACCATAACAAAACCAGTTATACTGAAGTTTTGAGGAAAATTTATATATCACACATGAGAAACAAGGAGAATATTTGAATTTTTAGATTGACTTAAAGTTGATAAATTTAAATTATTATGCTACAATAATAAATGTCTTGAATTGTAAAAGATCTTTAGGTTGGAAAGGTATCCAGGACTTATATAGAATCCATCTACTATTATATGGATTATTCAGTTCTTGTCAAATATCATGGCATCGCTGTAGTTGAAATTTAGCACTTAAGGTCTAAAACTGCACCATTTGACTGGAACAGTATTCCTACTAATAGAAGCTATTAGAGTTCCTGAATCTGAGGATTATGATCAGTATTCAGGTATAAAGCACATAGTTTTTTAGTGTAACAAAGAAAAATTACTCTCTAGGGGGAGAAATTTTAATGTCTTTACTGAAGATAGAGGGACTATAGACTTCAGTTCACAACATTTTGTTTTCATTGTCAGTTCATGTTATCTTGATTAATGGTAGTCTGGAAACAAGTGAAGATGATAAAAACAAAACAACTGAAAGACTTATGATAAAAAGAGAACTGAAGCAAAGCTTTGAATTGAAAAATGAAGCTTTAATTTATAAGCCACCATAAATATTTTATTAATTGAATTGTGTACTCATTGGAAAAGTTGAATTCTTTTAATATGGTCTAGTAGAAATATTTCCAGTCAAATTGTGTACTCCAATCATACTGTCTTGAAATATATTTCTAGGTATTAGCTAAAATTGCTTAAAAATAGTTGTATTCTTTGCTGGTATAGGAAAAAAACCATTACAGACTATGGGTAAGATTTTCCCATTCTTAATTAAACTTGTAACAGGAAAAACTACCGAAGATCTGTTTCAGCCTCTATCCTATATAAAACAGTCAAAACAGGGATGTGGGAGAATGAAGAATCAAATTTCAGGTAAGTTATCAGGGCATGAGACTTCATCTCGGGTACCATAGCTTCAGGATGTAAGACAATGAATGAAACAATTTAAATGAACAAACAAAAAGGAACATTATTGTTTAATTCGGTACAAGGTAGTTTTACAATCTGTGATATCTGTCTGCATTTAGAGTAATATGCAAGGATTATAGAATAATGTTTTTAATGGTCGAAATTGCACATGAACATTATTTCTCATGCAAATGGTGATGTATTCCAGTAGCTTAATTTTTAAAATATATATAAAACATTCTTTTCAAAAAATAATAAACTTTTTAAATAATTTGAAAACTTGGAAAATAATTACTTTTTAATATAGCAGGATAGCTTTAAAGATGAATGTTGGCAGATGTGAATAAAGTTTGTGGTACCATTTTGATGCAGTTCATTAATTCTATTTCCTCTTTTTTTGTTCTCTTCCTTCCTTTTTTGGGGCTAGGACCCAATAGGTCAAAACTACAAGATATGCTTGCTAATTTGAGAGATGTTGATGAACTTCCCTCATTGCAACCATCTGTGGGTTCACCTTCCAGACCCAGCAGCTCCAGGCTTCCTGAACACGAAATAAATAGGGCAGATGAAGGCAAGTACTTAAGACACTCGCCAGCCTAAGAAACACTTGGACATACATACTTAAATTCGGTTATTAAAAAGGTCTCTAACAGAAGAGTTGTATTCTACAAGTGTTTGATCTATGTATTATCCCCCAAATGTAGGCTTTCTTGCATTTAATGGGGTTTGAGTCCAACTTCAATCTTTAAGACTTGAAAAAGGGTGCATAAACTTAAAAACCTCTAAATTCTAGTTTAGAATATTTGTGCAGTCTCAGAGAAGGCTTCCATAGTCTGTGTGTGCTATATACATTTCTTTATTTTTATTTTAATCATTCAGAAGGCAGTGCCACATATAAAAGGCACTTTAGTCTTAAGTTCTGAGGAATCTTAGCAGTCAAATGCCAGTTATGCCCATTGTTGCTCTCTCTCTTCAGCCCTTAGTTCTGCTGGCTTAGCAACTGGTGTGTGTTTTCAGGTTTTACTTGGCCATTTCTAGAGCATTAGTTATATTATCCCAAACAATATCTATGGTCACATCTGACGAATCTTAGTCCTTTTATTTTTTTTAAAGATTTTATTGGGGAATAGGGGGAGGGGAACAGCATTGGGGAATTGGAGAAGGGGAACAGACAAGTTGCTGTCCTTTTGTTCTTCAGTCTAGTTGTGGAGGATGTTGATTCACTGGCCCAAGTTGGCACCATCATTGCGCTCTTCCCGGGCGAGGCAGATCAGTCGCCAGCTTCTGGATGGCCGCTCACGGCAGCTCTTGGCAGCTCACACTGGCTGCCAGCCGCATACGGTAGCTTATGGCAGCCCACTGCAGCAGGGGCTGCAGCCTACGCCGTCACTGGCAACTCATGGCAGACCAGCTCCAGGTTGAGCTGTTGTTCACCATCTTAGCTGTAGAGGGCACAGTGTCACTGGACCTCATGTGGGATCCAAACCGGGGCCCTGTTGCTCAGAGCTGTTGTCCCAAGCCAGCTCTTAACCAACACGCCACTCGGCCGGCCCAATCTTAGTCCTTTTTTGAAGAGTCATTTTTATTTTACACCTGAGTAAAGTTATCTGAAAATGTTAGAAATGAAAACAAAACAAAGAAACCTGGCTGAAGACCTAGTGTCATATAGTCTTGCGTGAATCATTTGGTTGAAATTTTGGCATGGAAATTGCTTTTCTAATTTAAATAATTCCCTCATCATTAATAAACGTTTGCAGTTGTTTGAACCCCCCCCCCCAGCAGATATATTGTATGTTTGGGTAAAACCCATTTTTATTATTGCTGCTTTATTATATGATGGTTTGAAAATGTCTTAATTTATGCTATACTTCATTCTTATAAGGATTTTAAGTAGAGTTTCTACTACTACTGTTTTTAAAAGCACATAACTATTTCTTCATTTCTTCAACAAATATGATTGAACAAAAAATTATTGGAATGAATCCAAAACTGAAAAAACACCTTGTAAATTCAGTTTTCTGCATATGCTGATTAATATAGTCAACTTGTTTCTTTTAAGAAAAATTAATTTTTTAACAACCAAAGTTTTTAAACTACTAAATTCATCTAATAAACTTATAAATGTTTGTCATCAGTAAAGTAACCACTTTTAGAAAACCACTGAAAGACCATCTCTGACAGTTTATCAGAATAATTTCCGTTTACAAAAAGTGACATTTTATTATTGACCAAATTAAGTAAAATCTCTTTTAACTTTGCATTTTGCTTTTAACTGGTTCTTCTATGATGGTAACTGAGGGGATTAGATTGGAAAGTGCAGTGTTAGGAAGTAAGGATATTTAAATTTATCACAAGGTAAATCTGACATGTTAAAGTACAATTGATAGCTAAAGAAAGTGTTCAAATGGACACTTTAGAAAAATTTCTTTGAGCCCTCCTGCTGCGGAATAGTGTGGATCGGAGGCTTGGATACATTCAAGATTCGGCTCCACCCACAACCCACCGCCGTGGCTGAGGAAAGCATTGCTGCTGGAGGTGTAATGGACGTTAATACTGCTTTACAAGAGACGCTGAAGACTGCCCTTGGCCACAATGGCCTAGTATGGGGAATTCACGAAGCTGCCAAAGCCTTAGATAAGCGCCAAGCCCATCTTTTGAGTTCTCACATCCAACTGTGGCGAACCTCTGTACATCAAGTTGGTGGAATCGCTCTGTGCTGAACACCAAATCCACCTAATTAAGATTGATGACAACAAGAAACTAGGGGAGTGGGCAGGCCTCTGTAAAATCGACAGAGAGGGAAAGCCCTGTGAAGTGGTTGGTTGCAGCTGTGTGGTGGTTAAAGACCATGTCAAAGAGTCTCAGACCAAGAATTCCACCGGGGAATACTTCAGATGCAAGAAATGAACAAGTAAACTTGGCTTTTAAAAAAAATTTCTTTGAAATATTCTTAAATGAAAGATAACACACCTCCAGAAAACTGCTGAAGTCACAAGAGTGTGGCTCAGTGAATTATCACAAAATGAACCAGCTAACCAACCATGTCAGCACTGCGTTGGTCAAGATGCAGAACATCACCAGGGCCCAGGAGCCCTGCTTTCTAATCACCACCCCTTCTCCCTTTCCAGAGGTAATCCTCACTTCTAGCACCACATACTCATTTTGCCTCAGCTAGGTACCTTTTACAGTTGTAACCTTTTTTATTTGAAATTTTCTGTGTTCCTCTAGGTTATAGAATTAATAATTTTGTTTGAATGAGAACCATTGTTTTCAGAATCACTTATGATTGATATATGTTTAATATGTCTAATACATGCTTAATAATTGATAGAAATAGTTTGGGTAATTAACATGAACTATCAAATGAGGAAAACCTACTTTCATTTAGTCACATTATGTTTCTGTGTAGTGAGAAAGAACAATGAACAACTGGATTTGTTTCATGTTTTACTTTTCTAATTAGATGATACCTTTAGTTATGGTTAAGATATGGAAGAAGCAGTTCTTCAGGATTTTCTGCTCACTGAATTTTATTATGTTTAAAAGCATTTTAAAATTATCAAATGTAGACATGCCCTTATGAGATGAATTGTTGGCTCTCGAGAGGTTTTTTTTAGGTTTCTTTTGTCTTCTTTCAGTGGAAGCATTGACATTTCCTCCTTCTTCTGGGAAGTCATTCATCATGGGAGCAGATGAAGCCCTTGAAAGTGAACTGGGACTTGGAGAATTGGCAGGCCTTACAGTGGCCAATGAAGCAGACTCACTCACCTACGATGTGAGTGGTAGTTTCATTTTTGTTGTTTTTACTCATTTTTTTAAAATACAAAGTTAACTTTATAGAAAAAGATGGCAATAAAGAAGCAAAACATCACAAGTATAGAATTCTGTTTATTTTTAATCACAAACCTTGAAAATGTGAATATATTATAAAGATAAACAATATTATTTTTCACATCATATAGAGATTAAAACTATGGGCTTTACCTAAATCTGTAAGTCAACATAGCTTGTTTATTGGTTTTAGATAAAGGAAAGAATTCCCTTTTCCATTACCAAGTTTGGGATTTGTTTTATATTTTAGGGCATCAGTGATTAATTGAAATTCATACCTGCCAAGGGCATTGTTTGTCTTGCTTCCACAGTACATCATAGGTATCCTGCTGAGAACTGATTTGAGCTGTTTTTAGGCAGGCACGTGTACAGGGCACTTTCCAGATATTAAGGCTGACCCATCAGTGATTTGGGCCAAAATTGAAATCTTTGTACCTTTATGCCTCCCAAACACAGTGGTTTTATAAGTGCATTTTTTTTTTTTAAAGATTTTATTGGGGAATCAGGGAAGGGGAACAGACAAGTTCTTTTGTTCCTCAGTCTAGTTGTGGAGGACATCGCTTCACTAGCCCATGTTGGTATGATCATTGCGCTCTTCCCAGCTGAGGCAGATTGGTCGCTGGCCACTGGACGGCCTGCTCACGGCAACTCTTGGCAGCTCACTCCGGCTGCTGGCCGTTCACGGTAACTTATGGGAGCCCACTGCAGCTCTACTGCAGCCTACACTGTCGCCGGCGACTCATGGCAGCCCAGCTCCAGGTCGAGCTGTTGTTCACCATCTTAGCTATAGAGGGCGCAGCGTGAGTGGCCCTAATGTGGGATCCAAACCAGCGCCCTAGTGCTCAGAGCTGGCGGTCCAAGCCAACTCCTAACCAACGCGTCACTCGGCTGGCCCAATATAAATACATTTTTAATTGTTCGTCATAATCAATTGTCAGAAAACTAGCTGCATATTTCATAAAGTGTTTACAACCTATCTTATCTCTTCATTTAAAATCCTCTCACTTTGTCTCTTGCTACTACTACATTATCTTCGTTGGAGGATACATTGTAGTTCCTGCCACATGGGGGATGTAGTGTGGATGCCTAAACACACCAAAGATATAAGAAAGCACTCCAAGGAGGAACCCTAACCACTCATTCTGTTTTCTGCAAATCCAAAACTCTCAATCTCTGTGCTAAGTCATTTAGTAAGTGTTTTGGGTTCTGTCTCCAAAAACAGCTGAAATCCATGTGCTGCTTTTACTTCCCATCCTAGTCCATTTTTTTCTTCACCTGGAACTATTATAACCTAATCAAAACAGGCTCCTTGCACTCCATTCTCCACATTTGTGAAACAGACTTTTAAAAAATACATTTCTGTTTCCACTGTTTGTGTATCCTTATATAATATTTACATCTGTTGTTTTAAATCACCATTTAGTTGACTTTTGGTTTTTTTTCATTGAACATTTGACAAACTTTTAAATTGGAGCATTTAGTCCATTTCTTTTTAAAGTATCATGTTTTCCCGAAAATAAGACAGGGTCTTATATTAATTTTTGCTCCAACAATCTACATTCATTAATTCAATTACAAAAATCTACATTTATTCAAACAGTCATGTCTGGCTGACGATCTTAACTCGGGCTTATGTTTGGGGTGGGGCTTATATTACGAGCATCCTGAAAAAATCATGCTAGGGCTTATTTTCCAGTTAGGTCTTATTTTTGGGGAAACATGGTAATTATTGATATCTTTGGATTTAAGTATACCATCTATTTATGTCACCTGTTCTATGTTTCTTTTTTCTCCTACTTTTGCCTCTATTGGGATTGATAATTTTTTATTATTCACCCCTTTCCTTCATTATTTGGAGTTTATACACACTTCACTACTCTTTTAATTATAACCCTAGAGATTATCACACACATCCTTTAGAGCATTTTAACCTTATTTGAAAAGCTTCCACCCTACATGTGTGTTATCCTTGTGATATATTTTATTTCTCTATGCATTTATCTGTAGTCTTACCTGAAGACTTCACGGGGAAGATCTGTTTCCAGGCTTACCCACGTAAGGTTGTTGCAAGGCCTTGGCTCCTTGCTGGCTATTGGCTGGAGACTATTTCCTCAGCACGTAGGCCCTTCTGTGGGCTCCTCAGCAGGGCAGCTGGCTTCTTCCAGTGTGAACGCCCTTGAAAAGAGAGGGTGAAAAATGTCCAAGATGGAAGGTGTTACAACCTAATTTTGGAAGTAATTTGTTATCACTTTGCTGCATTCTATTGGTCACACAGAGCAATCCTATAATGTGGAGAAGAGGTGTAAATGCGAGGAGGTGGGGCTGATTGTGGACAGTCTTAGTGGCTGCCTACCACACTAAGACATTCAGTAGGAATCTAATTGCTTTTCCATATGAAAACCTTTCAGCTCTTTAACAAGAGCAGACAGGAGTTAACTCATTTGTTCCCTCCACTTTTCTCCCCTTCCCCTCATCCTCCCCAAGGATAACTACCCCTAATTCTTACAGTAGTTCCTTGTATAGTATGTTTGTCTTCTCTTCTTGCACCAATTGTGACATGTCCTATCCAAATTTTTCTGCAGGTTTTTAAACTTCTGGGTTCTAAATTATAGTATATGTTGAGTGTAGCCTCTGAAGCCAGACTGCTTGGGTTTGAATCCAGACTCCTCCACTTACTAGAGGGCAAGTCACTTAACTTCTCTTTTCCTTACACGTCTAGTCTAAAGTGGGGGATAATGTTAATTCCTACTTCATAGAATTGTGAGGATTGAGTTAATGCATGTTAAGTCTTTTGAATAATGTTCAAAATAATGAGGAATGCTCAAAGTAGCAGCTATTGTTAGTATCATGTTGGTTTTTGTCATTGTCATTATGGTAATATTTCTCCAGTGTGTTTCCAATACTTGCCTCACTCTTATTTACTTAAACCTAGCATGATTATTAGCCTTGGAGTGTGAATAGTTCATACATGGTGCTAGTGTAAAGTCAGACACCAACCTCTAGCTTTCCTATTACTTGGAATAAAAAAAAATAGTCCTTTTTTTTTTCAGTTGTTGAGATGGAGTTTCTGTGGAAGAAAGCAGCATAATGATGAGTGTATCTTACCAATGGAATCTATTTTTTTGTAACATCTGATTGTCTCTTCTAACTTTAACATTTTATTTTCTGGTCTGTAAATTTTGTTTAAAAAATTTAGCTCTTGTTGAAAAAATTTAGCTCTTGTTAGAAAGTAGTGGAAATCTCAAAAAGTATGATCATATTCTGTAATGTTAACATGTTTAAAGATAACTTAGTTTTTCAGCTCTTACCTAAAAATTAGTTTCTATATTATAATTTAGGTTGAAATTATTGTCTCTTTAAATTATCCCAGTGAAGATCTATTTTATGTTATTATATTATTTGATCCTTTTTTATATTGAATTATATTACTTGTTTTTTTATTATAGCATTTATATTTCTTCAGAGAAAACCACTGTTGATATATTGCTAATTTTGCCTATTGATTTGTTGTTTTGAAAGTTGCAAAATGTGGTGGTTTAATGACAAGTCAGCAAAAATTATGTTGAAATATTATTTTTCCCCCCTATCCTAACTAAATGTATAGGCATCTTTCTTTTGTTTCTTTAATAGATAGCAAACAATAAAGATGCATTGCGGAAGACATGGAACCCTAAGTTTACATTAAGAAGTCACTTTGATGGTATTCGAGCCCTTGCTTTCCATCCCATTGAGCCTGTTTTGATAACAGCATCAGAGGATCACACATTAAAAATGTGGAATTTGCAGAAAACAGCCCCAGCCAAAAAGTGAGAATATCTTGTTTTAACTTATATTTAATATTTTCAGCAGGAAAATACTTACTTTATTTATTTACTATTCCCCAAATAGCTCTTCTAGTTCTTCTTCACCATGTCACATAATTTAGACTGTTTTTCTGTTTATACTCACAATTGAATATTAGGTTAGAAAACTTAACACTTAGGGGAAAATGGTATTATCTGATGGTTGTCCAGAGTTTGTAAATCCTAATTATAATCCTTATATAGTGTTTTAACTGTCATATTTAGGGAACCTTTTCCTTTGTACTGAAATTTTCTACTATTGTTGGAAACAGTAGGTATAGGCATGTTTAATCATCAACCCCTACCCCAACCTGCCCCATTGTTTACAAAGTTTGAACTTATGGAGTGGAAAGGAGGGAAGGCTGATTGGGAGGGGCGAGGGACTTCTCTTTGATATTGTCTGTTGACCTTGACCTTTAGATACTTTCCATACCCACCAAGATGTCTAGACTGAAAAGCAGTGTTGTTGCCATCATTTAACTGCTAGTCTTGCCTTGGCCCCTTGGTTCCTCTCTAAGCATGGACAGAGATGAGTTGGTATCACCAAGCTAGCCCTGATCCCACTTGTCGGGGTCCTTATTGGAGCTCCTCTACTTTCTTCCTTGGGTCACATGGTCTAGAACCCAGCATCTACCAGCAAGGGCCCTTCTATAGTGTCAGGCATTTCTGTTATTAAAAGAGTAGAAATGAACACCAAATGGATATTACAGAAGTTTTATTACTGGTAGAGAAACGATATCTATTGCCCAGTTTAAAAGAGATCAGTGTCGTTCCTCCTGCTCTAAGTCATACATGGACTAGATAAAATACTTGATTTATCAGTCTTTATCAAGTTAGCTGGACCAGATCTTGCTAAAACCAAGTGAATCCTCATTTGCATCAGGTACCTTCAGCAGAGAAAAATTATTTCTTGGTTCTAAATTGTGCCATTTGTCTTTCTAGTTCTTTGTTCTCAGTGGGTATTACATTAGACTAAAGAATATGAATGTGTCATGATATATTTGTGACTAAAATCTAGAAAACTATTGAAACAAGTTTCTTGCTGGTGATAGCTTAGTAATAATACTTTCACATGTAAATAACAGTGGCCTTGAACTTACAACTTTGGAAATGACTTGGGGGGAGAGATCATATGCCTATAAAAAATTGCAATACAATGTAGAAAATGGTGACTTTAAATCCAGTTTCCATTAAGAATCATGGCCAGTTTAGGCACTGTAGAGTGCTCATATACTCAGTGTTCTGTAATGAATGAACTGATAACTTGGACAGCTTCTTCAAGTATCAAGGACAGACATATTAGCCCTCATCGAAATACAAGGAAGTTAAAGCACCATTTATTGAAATTCTGTGTGCATGGTCCTGTCCTAGGCTGTTTTACTTGTAGAATCTCATTTAATCCTGTGAGTATTTGGTGTTATCCCTAGTTTTTCATTTTATTTTAAACATAGAAAAATCTAAAGTTTCAAAAGATTAAATAATTTGCCGAAAGTTAGTTAATGACAGCACTGGACATTGAATCCATAATTTATGACATAACTCAATCATGCTGTTTATTATTGAATCTTAGAGTGGTAAAAGTCCTCTTCTCTCTCTGATTTAGGAGTACATCTCTTGATGTGGAGCCTATCTATACATTCAGGGCTCATAAGTAAGTATGTGCTTTTTCTTTTTTAAAAAAAATCAACATTACTATAAATCAGCCTGATAAGAATATTTTATTGTCTTTCACTTATGTATTCGTGTTACGTATTTTTGTATTTAGTAGCCTTTTAAAATAATTTTAAAAGAAACTTGCAGATAATATAATGTTAAAAACAACCAAACAGGGATCCTTGCTGACATTAGATTTTATAAGTATGATGTTTAAATGACCTATATATCTCTTTTAAAATAAAGTTGAGGAAATTAGATTTAAATATTAGAAATCCTGACCTTTTTTCCTTAAGGATAACCTAGATAAAAATAAAGAATTTTTATTGTGATCACATATTATTTGCTTCTCTTGCTTCCATTTAAACTTAAGGAATATACATATCCATTTGATTTAACATTGATTAGCATACTTTTTGTATAAAGGGTCAGATAGTAAACATTTTTAGGCTTTTTGGGCCACATATTTTCTACTAATATTCTTGTGTTTAGTTTAGTTTTGTTTTACAACTCTTTAAAAAATGTAAAAACCATTCTTAGCTTGAGGACGGTTCACAAACAGACTACTGGCTGGATTTGGCCCACATGCCATAGTTTATCAACTTTTGGTTTGGCAGAAAAAGAAAAATGAACAGTGCTTTGATAGTATTTTTATTCATGGTACAAAGCTGAAAAACAGAGTAATTAAGTATTGTTATTTTTAGTAAGTCCTGTTATCAGATTATTTTTGAGACTAGAAATTGGTTTTCCTCTCCCAGAGGTCCGGTGCTCTGTGTGGTAATGAGCAGCAGTGGTGAGCAGTGTTACAGTGGTGGTACTGACGGACTGATCCAGGGCTGGAACACCACCAACCCCAACATCGATCCCTATGACTCCTACGGTATGAGAGTCCCCAAGAGCTAAAAGAATAAAATGTTTTCTTTTACACATTTTACATAGCACGCATAAGGATAAAATGAGATATTTTTAAAAATAAATTGGTAGAAGAGAACCATTCCTTTATTTTGTTAAAAAGAACTCCTGTATTTAGGAACCCATTTGATATATGATGCTATAAGAAAAAATGAAAAAAATGTATTCTTCCTGAAAAAAACAGATTCCACCACCCAAAGTCTTATTGACTGGAGATGCTGGCTTGCTGGACAATTGTTTTTTTTATTTCAGGCATGTGAACAGTACTTGGTACATTATTATTAATCTGTAATCATAATTTATCACTAACCTTAATAAACAACATTGAAGGAAAACGCATCCTAGCATCACTTTCTTGATCAATTATTGGAGGGTAAAGAGGCTAATTACTTTCCAAGTCCATGGAACCAAAATGTTTAAAATTCCTTAAAAATTAAGAGGTGCTCTTTAATCTTGGGAATACTACCATGAAATACAGATCTTTATTATAATGTATCACTACCTATTACTATAAATTTTCTTGCAAAAACTTGTTTAGGAATTGATTATTTTGGTTTCCTCTTGAATTCTCGAATGGTACAAAATTTCATATTTGCCATTTAACCATATATTATTTTCATTATCACTTTAGATTAATTTTACCACCAAATCTAAGTAAAAATAAGAAGTTTAATATACAAAATGTTCCCCAACATTTATTTAATAAGCATTTAACATACATTTTGTGAAAGGTGAACTTCCTCTTCCACCCAATTCTCTTACAAATTTATCTGTTTCTTACTTTTCCTTCTGTTATCTGTGTATCAGAGGAACCATTGTCCTCATCCTGTCCCAAGCCAACCCTTCCCCTTTTGCTCTTGACCTCATTTTCTCTTGTTTCCTTTGAGACTGCACTCTACCCCACCCCCTACCCTTGCTCCCATCTTAGGCCTTACCCTCTTTGTTCTCTTTCCATCTACTCAGCACATAAGTAAATTCAGCTATCCCCCATCCTGGGCAAAGGGAAGCCTTTACTGGCTCCATTTCCTTCTCTGGTTTCTGTTCATCATCTTTGTCTCTTTAGTGGTATTGTCTAGAAAACATAATTACTAGTTACCAATTTCATATCCTTTCCCTGTGCACCATCCCTCTGCATTCTGTCTTCTGGTTATACCACTTAAATATAACAAGATTTTCAGTGACTCTCTTAAGGGGTATTTTACAGTCTTTATTTTACAAGATGTATTGGCAGTCTGAAACTGTGGACCACTCCATCCTTTTTGAAATTTGTCCACTATTGGCTTTTTTGACACGTAACTCTGACAGTTTCTGTTCCCTATCCTTCATAAACTCCTTTTATTTTTCTCACCTTAAATATTGGCATTTATCAAGGCCCAGATTCTAATCCATCCTTTGCGTTGTCCACATATCCTTTGGTAGATTGAATCCACTTGTCTAGTTTTATATGCTGTTGACTCATAAATCTCTTCTTTAAGTCTCAGACTGCTTACAGAACATTTCAAAGTGTCTCATAGTCCATAAATCCACAGTGCTGTGTTTTTCTCCCATATATCCTTTATTAGTTGGTCACACTACTAGAATTACCCAAATTAGAAACATAAGAGTTACCCTTGATTCCTTGTTCTGTTTTACTATCCACACCTTATCAATTATTAGTCTTTTTGATATCACCCCTTAAATATTTTTTGAATTTGTTCCTTCTGCTTTGCCCCTTTTACGACTGCCCTCACTTGGGTCTTCTTTGTCACCCTCTCAGTCTACTGAAACAGTCCCCTTGCTTTCATCTTGATTTTATCCAGCCTCTTTTCACTGCAGTCAGAGTTACCTTATTAAATATGTACTTCACCGTACTGCCCCTGGGAAACGCTTCAGTTGTTCCCTCTTGCTTTCAGGATAATTTCCAAGTGCCTTAATATGTCTTAGAAACCTCACCATAAACCAGCCACTCTCATCTCACCCACTTCCTGCCTTAAACTTCATACTCCTGTGATACTGAATTGCTTATAAATTCCCTCACATATCTTGCTGTTTTTCCTTCTGGGATTTTTGTAGGTGCTGCTTCCTTTGCCAGGAATGACTTCCCTCTGTTCTTTGCCCAATATCTGTACACTCGAGGTGTCATTCTCTTCAAGAAGCTTTGACTCATCTCAGTTTATCTCCATGTAATGGGTGTCTGTCACTATTATTCTACTTATCACATTTTCTTTGGAGGACAAGGATGGCAGTGTGTCTTAATCATCTCTGTGGTCCCAGCATCTAGCATAGTGCCTAACACACAGTGTGTCTTCAATAATACTTTACGGTATGGCTGAGATATAGGACAGATACCACCAGTGACATTTTAAACTTAACAACTGTGAGCCTTCTGGAAAGTTCCACTCATAGAATCATTGTGAGGATTAATAATTACAGTTTCCAATTTGACTTTCATCAGAAACAGTGTTAAGTGATCCTCCCCCTGCCTCTGTCCTCCCTTCCCCACGTGCACATCGTTTATATGTCAGTTACTGCTGTTTGAGAATTCGGAGATTCCTGTAGGCTTCAGTTGATGTCTATTATGTCAGAGGCTTGTTGCTTTCGGGAATAACTGCCATTCATAGTATAGTTGGATAACTGGCCTAAAGGAGCATATCCAAAGTGCTGAAGGAGGTCAGAGGAGGGAAGGATACCTATTTACTTCCTCAGGGAATAATTTATAAATTGCAAATTCTATATTTGCACATTTCCAAGCCTGTTTTTAATTATTGCAGCATTTCAGAAGAGTAATAGACACTACGAAGCATATTTTATACTGTTACCAGGTGCTTTTTTCCCCTCTGTAACCTAAGTACCTCTATAATTTGTTTTTCTTCTCCTGATTTTGCATTCTTGCTGTTTTGTACAGATCCTTCTGTTTTAAGAGGCCCTCTGCTAGGCCACACCGATGCAGTCTGGGGTTTGGCTTATAGTGCAGCACATCAGCGTTTGTTGTCCTGTTCAGCAGATGGCACTCTCCGTTTATGGAATACAACAGAGGTTGCTCCAGCCCTGAGTGTATTTAATGATAATCAAGGTACATACTTTAAAAATTATTTTACTGACTCTTTCATAAAATTCTAAATTATCTAAGTTATGTTTTATTGTGGAAACAAACATTCAAATAAATGGTTCCAAAAATTCTTACTGTTCAAATTTAATTTGAAGGGTTTTTCAAGTAATGAAAATATATTTATTTGAATTTCCAACTTATGTATAATTTTAAAAGCCTGGTATTTGGTAAAAGAGCACACCTTATAATTTTTTTATTGAGATATGATTTATATATAGTACAAAACAGACACTAAGAATACATTGTAATGAGTTTGATAAATGCATAACTCTTCCATCAAGATACAGAACATTTCCCTTACCTCCCCAAAGTTTCTTTGTGTCCTTCCCAGTCAATGTCTCCTCTGCCCGTTCCCAACCAGAGATATCCACTGTTGTGATTTCTTTCATCATAGATTAGTTTCGTCTATTCTAAAACTTCATATAAATGAAATCATACAATGTGTACTCTCTGTGTCTGGCCTTGTACTCTCACTATAATGTTTTTGTGATTCATCCATTTTGTAGTTAAGTATCAATCATTTATTTTTATTGTTTAATCATATTTCATTCAACCACAATGTGTTTATTCATTTACCTCTTAATGGACATTTGGATTGTTTCCAGTTTTTCACTATTGTGAACAAAGCTGCTATGAACATTCATGTTTTTATTAGAGGTGCGTAAAGACCTAAAAGTAGAATTGTGTGTTTAACCTTATATGAAATTGCCAAACTCTTTCAGAATGGTTGTGCCATGTTACACCACTGACAGCAATGTATGAGAATTCTAGTTTGCTCTATATCCTTATTTACTAACATTTGGTGTTGTCAGAATATTTAATTTTACCCAGTCTGATGGGTGTGTAGCAGTATTTAATTGTGTTTTAATTTGCATTTCCTTGGTGGCTAATTATTTTGAGCAGTTTTATAAACCTATTAGTCATTCATATATCTTCTGTAACATGCTCATTTTTGAACTGTTAGCTTGCTTTAGTTAGATTTTGAACCAAATGAAAAAATCAGATTACATTCACATATACATATAATTTTGGTTTTTTTATGTTTATAAATAAGCTCCAAGTTTTAACCAAGTTTTACCTTATTCTAGATGATAAATAAAAATACTGTCTTTATTCTTGAGCTTTCATAACTTGTGTCTAGGTTTTGATGAGTTGCCTGCATCTGATATTTGCATGACTCTACCAATAACAGTTTGAATTTTACTTTTTAAATTCCATATTTTTCATGAGCTAGAATTTATAATAAGAGATGGGCTTTTAAAATGAAGAGCTCCCATGATGCCACTCTAAGCCTCATGTTGAGGTGGAAGCAGCAAATCTTGTAGTACATACATGTTTTCCATTTTTTTCTCTAGTAAAGGCCTGCATTCCATATACACGTAGAAGATGTACTGAGCAGGTAAGGATAATAAAATAGACTAGGGCGAAAAGAAACCAAAGAAATAATTTCCATTGAGTGGCTATGAGCAAATTCTGATTCTAACATCGAGCCTTACTTCTTAAGGAAATCATGCAACTACTTGTTTTGCTATATTTTAAGCACACTGTCAAGTAAATCCTCTAATTGCCATTCTCTTTGAATATGTTCTGTCTTGTGTAGAATTGGGAATCCCCGCCTCTGTGGACCTAGTGAGCAGTGACCCGAGCCATATGGTAGCATCATTCAGCAAAGGATATACAAGCATCTTTAACATGGAAACACAACAACGCATTCTCACTTTAGAATCCAACCTAGATACAAGTATGTATACCAATTTTAAATAGTCTGTGTTTGGCTCAATTTTTTAAACTTCATATCAAAATTATCACTACTAGAGTCAACTATGAAAAATACTTGTCATTATAAAGTCTTCTGACTCTTAAATCACATAACACAGTTGCCTAGAAGGATATAACAATTTACAATTGATTTTAAGACTTGGAGTAAAGTTTATGCACATTTATAACTATACTATTTGAAATAGCATTTGAGCTATTCCAAACAGGAGTCAAGTTTAATTTTATACCAAATGATTAGTTTTCAATTCTATTTGAAGAAAATACTTATTCTGAATAAAAATATTTCTATTTTTCATGTCTCATAATTTGATTTTTTAAATCAACTTAATTTTTATTAATAATATAATTTGACACAGCTCAGTACTGATTAGAATATAGATCAGGTTGTGCTTCTCAGAATCCAAAATCTGAAGCTTCTTGTTCGATACAGGAAGTCAGGAAATAAATAATTACTCAGATTATGAGGAAGCTATTACAGAATTTTTTTGGTTTGGGGCTCTTTTAACCATTGATTGCTTAATCCAGACAATCACTGTTTAGGTTGCAGTTGATAAAACTACATACACATATACTGTTATTTGAATTTGCAAACTTGCAAAAATTGTTATGGTGTGTGTGCACACGTGCATGTACGTGAATGTGTGTGTGAGTGTGTGTGGCTCTCCTCTCTCTCGTTCCTCTCTTCTTTCCAGTTTGGTTTTCTTCATTTTCTCTTCCCAATCCTTTCTTTTCTTCTGGTGTCCTGTGAGAATTGTTTGGAGAAGTAGGCATGAGTAGAGCTTTTAACTATTTGATTGTAAAAGAGAGAGACAAAAAAAATCAAATTGAGATTATGACATAGGAAAAAATTTTTTTTGCCAAGAAATATAGGTTTTCAGACCCTCAGTAAATTTAAAATTTATATATATGACCTAAAGGTATAGGAGTAAAGTAAAAAACAAATATGAAATTAAGAAGGATGTGAACATTTTTGGAATTACCTTCAGAGACTGTAGTCTATTCTTTAAATATCCTGAGTGGTAAATATTGGTTTTTAATGACTGCTACAAATTAACCAGACGTCAAGTCTTGTGGATGAAATGATTAACTGGACTAGACAATCCCATTTTTTTCCCCCAAGGTGGGTGACTAGTCAACTGACATTTTGCCTGATACTGGCAGCATTTACTGAATGCGGCCAAGAAGGTTTTGAACAAAGGCAGCATTATTGGAATAAGTGATAATTATTTTGAGTTAAAATAATATGTCCTGACATTTCCTGAATTATCAATTTGATTATTTCAGAGTTGTATAAAGCAAACCTAAGTTAGTCTTTTATTACTTGCTACTGTGTACCCCTTAGCTATTTATATTTGACTATGTTCTATTCTGGAATTTAGCAGATGCTTTTTTAAATTAGAATTCAGACCAAACCTGTTTCAAGGGAAAAGTGAATTTCGTATAGAATTTAAAAGGATGAAGACTGTTTGTTGTTAGAATCAGATTAAATTACCCTCCTTTTCATTGAGGTCATTGGTGATTTCACTGTGATAAAGTCAAAGGTAGTTGAAGCAGGTAATTGGGTACTTGTGAACCCAGTGAAAAGGCAAACAATTTCTAAGCTGCAAGCTGAATATGAATATTTGGAGGGTTGTTTTAATTCATTGTTAGAATGATGGCTGGTAGGCCTTCAGTTTATTTCTAGTATTCTTTGTGTTTTGCTTACTTGTCTGATTTACCATCAAGTAGAAAAACTGCCTAACAGGTATTACTAAAGAAGAACTTTCATTTGCCTGCGTCCATCGTTTGATTTCTATTGTACGTATATTCTAAATCTCAAAGTAATTGAAGCTGTTTCTAAAAACTTCTCTCTCAGAATATATGGGATATTTTACTTAAAATATTTCTTTTTTGTGGTTATTCTCCTGCTAGACTTTACAGAGGATATTGCTCAATGGTGTGTTATCTCTGGTTCATAGACTGCGTTTAGAAACTAAGCTGTTTACTTAGGACCATGTAAATTGAGTATAACTGACCCAAAGCTTACTCTGCATGGTCAAGTGACTGCCATTAGCATTGGAAAAAGACTCTCTTCAATTTTAAAGCTGTCATATTTCTAGGAACCTCAATCCAATGGAATACACTAATGTTACTGCTATTTTTAGCTACTTTTAACTATATTTTCTGTTATGTGAATATAAATTCATAATACCTATTCTAAGATTAAAAATTGTTTTTAAACTAATTATGTTGAAGTAATTTTTAATTTGCAGAAAAGTATCAAAAATAGCACAAGAACTGACTACCTTTCATTTAGATTCATCAGTTTTAAACATTGCCCCATTTTGTCACATTTGCTTTATCATTCTGTGTATATGTGTATAATTTAAAATTCTGAACCATTTAAGAGACCACATACTCCGATACCTGTAGATCCTTGATTAAACATGTCATTCCTGAGAACAAGGACATTCTCTGACATAGCACATTACATCATCAAAATCAGGAAATTTAACCCTGACACAGTGCTGTTGTCTGAGTTATGATTTACATTCACATTTGCCAGTTGTCCCAGTAGTGTACTTTATAAGGACATCCCTTCCTTTCCCTGGATCATTATATAATGATTTTTAAACTCTGATATGTCTTAAATTAGTGTTACTTTTAGGTAGATTTTCCCCTTTTTTCTTATAAAAAGTATCTTAACAAAAATCACTAATTAAACTTAAGTTCTTAATTATTGAGTTCCTTTTGATAAAAGGCTTTCAGGAGGAACTTTTGATAGCTTAGGTATCAGTTTTGGCAGTTGTCTGATTTGTGTGAGCCATCTGGTTGGGATAGAAGCAGAAGTTAGAATACGTACTTTGTCACATGATTTTGGGGGAGTCACAACTTTTTCTAGATCTTGGTTCATTCGCTGTGATATGGGCCTAATGACATATGGCCTGCCTGTCTCATTGTATGTATACTTTTTTTTTTTTTTTTTTTTTAGCTGAGCCATCCTGCCATCTGTTGGCAGCTCAGTGGCTGCTCAGCTCGGGCTGGGACTTGAACCACTGTTGCTCAGAGCTCGCACTCTTGAGCAAGCTCTTAACCAACTGAGCCACTCGGCCAGCCCTCTCATTGTATGTATACTTGAAATTTCTTGAAAACTATTAAGTAGTACACAGAAAGTACTACTGGAATGCTGACTATTTTAAAATTCCAAATGTGGTAGACTGTCAAATGATGACCATTTCTATTACAGTGAGAAAGAGAAATTTAAAGTGCTAAGACACTTTCTTTGTCATGTGTAACTCTCTTTGTTATGTGTATCATTAGATGGCAGCCATGTGATAAAGTGGTCTATATCTAGAAATAGTTGAGATTTAAATTTGGGCATTATCTGTATATGTAAGTAATGATGGAACTTTATTAAAGTAGCAGAAATATCACAGAACATTGTAGAATGAGAACTGTCAGTGGCTCTGTGCTAAGCCTTAGGTGGCACCCATTGATAGCAGGTGGTGGAAAAGGAAATTCTATTTCTTAGGTACCTCTAGATTTGTCAGGAGAGTATTACTCAGGCAGGTCTCATTTCCTAATATTGAAATTATGAACACAATCGTAGGATAAATGAACTAAAGACAAATTAAAATCACATCATTTGCTTTTTCAATCTCTTAGGTGAGTATTCAGTTCTCTTTTGTGTGAAGAAATAGTAGCTTTGACTAATTTGTGTTGTCTTTATTTAATTTTTTTCCTTTTAGCTGCCAACTCTTCCTGCCAAATAAATAGAGTCATCAGTCATCCCACTCTTCCCATCAGCATCACTGCTCATGAAGACAGGCACATCAAATTCTATGATAACAATACAGGTAAGAATTCATTTAAAATTGATTATTGTTAAAGAAAAAAAAATCTCCACTATAAGTAGGCTAAGTTTGGTGCAGTGGCTTTATTGTCAGGGAATAGGCATTGAAACGCAGATACTCTGCCATCTCAGTTTCTGTTCATTCCATCCAAATCTGCTGAGAGCTACTCTTCATGGTAGCACGTAGAGTCATCTTGGTTTATTTAATTGTAAGTACGTGTTATATTTTGGCCCTGGAGCCAAGAGTATCACCAGGAACATAATGAAAACTTCATTCAAATACCAATAAAAATGATCTCTTACTGTGAGTGTATTAGGGGAAAGTAGAAACATGTACTGTGGAAAAATAGAAGTAGAGGCATATGATCATTATATTTTGTTTATATAATTGTTCAATTTTTGAATAACTTCAATGTTCAGATGGAAAACCCCTGAGTTATTTGGTTTATTTTATTCATTTTCCATGAACTGATCTTTTCTGCATTATAATACTTTTTCGTCCAGATTGATTTGAATTAGGGTTTTACCAATTTTTATTGAATTACATTTCACTAGTCTAACGGAAATACATGAGGAGCTGTGCTGGGAGAAAAACACCCTGTGAGCAGCCATATTTACCTGAGTGTCTGCTATTGGCTTTGTAAATATGTTGACTTTTGCTGACTTTGCTTAGCTGCAGGTGATGGGTAATTTAATATTTTTAAACTCTTTCTGTATATTGTTTCCTCCAAAATTGTAGCCAGGTTTTCTCTCTGTTCCTTAGTCTTTGCTCAGTCTCTTCTTCTTTTCCCACAACCTGTATAATTTGCCTTTAGCTAAAGGCTGCAAAGTAAGGGATTAACAGTGTCTGAGTTCTAGTTAATGAACATAGCTTAAAGGAGTATTGGTGTACAATTTACTAACTTTGGGATTGTGATTTGAAAGACAAAACTATAATCTGGAGTTGAAGCTTTCGTTTCTCATCATGACCGTGCCTAGAGTGGGGAGGGAGACACTATTGTTTCAGCTGATGAAAACAGCTCTTGATGTAGTAAGTACACAGAGGTGTGTGACTGGAGAAACCAGTGGAATGTGGTAGCTGGCATGTATTCAGGATGAGGAAAGCTGTTAATGAAGAGTAACAATCTCTTTTTTCCAAAGGCAAACTCATCCACTCGATGGTAGCCCACCTAGAAGCCGTTACAAGTTTAGCAGTTGATCCTAATGGCCTGTACTTGATGTCTGGCAGTAAGTACATCAACTGTGCAGTATTTATTTATTCTTATTATTTTCACGTTAATGTAATTTTTCCTTTCAATTTCTTTTCTTTTGATAATAGGTCATGACTGTTCAATACGGTTATGGAACCTAGAAAGTAAGACATGTATCCAAGAGTTCACAGCTCATCGGAAAAAGTTTGAAGAATCAATTCACGATGTAGCTTTCCACCCATCCAAATGCTATATAGCCAGTGCTGGGGCTGATGCACTGGCTAAAGTCTTTGTATGACAGAATGCATCATCTTCACCTTCTAGCTCTTTATAAATAATCAACTGCACAAAAGAGATACAGAAGACCAGGGCAAGAAGCAACCCATCCTGCCCTCTCTTTCTGCTGAAGGAGCACAGAGGACATTTGTTAAAGTATAGTTTTGCAATTCGTATACTGTTTTCTAAAACTAAGGTTTGTTCAGGTTGCTGCAAGCTCAGCTGAATCTATGAGCCTGAAAACTGTTTCAAATTTCCCCCAAAATAGGAGCTTTTATTTCTGAGATGGTTCTAATTCGCTAGGCAGGCCTGAGCGAACTTAAGTTGAGTTTGTCCCCTATTGAGTAAATAGGACACACTATATGGGATAATTAAAAAACTTGATGGCTGGGAAAGGTAGAGGAAGAGCAGAAATTTAGACCTAGGTCTCCCCTGAGAAATCTTGTTAAACACATTAGCAGTCAAAACAGTAATCTTTACCTTATCTGTTGTACTAACCCCTGTGTGTCTAATGACCATGCAGTGTTAAAATGAGTTTTGAATTTATCAATCCTTTCAACTGTTCACATAAAGCACCTGGCAAAGCATTTTACCTATTAGGGGAAAAAAAGAAATGCAATAGTATGTTAAATATATTATTATTTAGAAATGCTAAACAACTATTTAGTTTGTAAGCAAATTTCTATATTGTATTACATTTTTGGAAATAGATTTGGTACCATTCTAAAGTTTAGCTGTCAAAAACACTCACCAGTGTGAAGAGTAGTTGATAGAATCTGCTTTTACTAAAAGATTTAACTTATTCAGGTTTAAGATTCTGTTTATTTTTAAGGGCAAGCAGGGCATGTCTCTATAATAATTTCTATTAATTTTAAAACTCATTTTATTCATGTGATATTTATATTACCAGAGTGATTATTTCATATCGATGAACTCTTAACTTTCTAGTGGTTGAAAAGATGGGAGTTATTTGCAAGTACTCATTTATCAAAACCCACATAACCATGCTTCAGATGATCTCTGCTCTTTCTTCTTTGTCTTCCATATTCAAATTATCTGACACCTATCAAAAATAGTTTATAATTACTATGTTTTAATAGTCCAAGGGGTATGGTTAACCTCAGGCAGCTGCTTTTGCAGATGTACTAAAGTAAATGTTTTATACCCAACACCCCTCCATTAGCATCTCCAAGAAGTAGAACCTCTTGGAAATCTGGACGGAAGACTTCAGTGCATATTGGATAAATAGCTCTTTCTTTCCTTCTCCCCACCCCTTCTCCATTGTTTAATTGGAATACACAGCATGTTTTAATGGGCAGTCAATCTGTTATTTCTGGGGAAAACCATATTTTAAGGGACCAGGGTTCCCTGGTCCTTGCCTATGACTGAAATGTCATCAGCTCTTAGGATTCCCGTGACCCCATTCCCTGGACCTGGTATGTAGACCTCATTCCTACAACTGCCCCACCTCTCCTCATGCACTTGTTTGCTCAGAATGTCAGAGACCAATCTTGAAATGAGAACTAAATTAATGCCCACCTTTTCAGAAAAATGTGTATATAATAGGCTCTCGGACTTTAAAAAGTCCATATTATGTCTATTTTAACCTTTTAATTAATTCCTACATTCCTATCCCCACATATTCCATTGTCATAACAGTCACACTTCTGATATGTACTCCTGGAAGTATTCTGGTGGTGATGTGGATGAGAATCAACAGTTTTTCTTTAAAATTCCTGCTTGTCTGCCTATAAAATTCTGCAGTATAAAGGCAAATTTTCTTTAAAGTTAAGGACCTGTGCTAAATTTGCTTGATTAATATGCAGATATGCTGTAACGCTTTGACACAGCTACCTTGTCATTTCATCTGTGCTTTGGTTAACAGTAGGCTCGAGGGACTCCTTTGTATAATCAAATGAATTGACCTGGACATGAGCTACCACGTCATATCTGAGCTACATACCAGGTGACTGTTTATATTTCCATGCAGATACAGAGTTCCACATCGTGTTTGGTGAATTCCTGTTTTGGTTCTGCAAAGAGCAAAGAAGTGGCGTTGCTAGCCTAACATTTGCAGAAAGATACTGGAAAACTCTAGTCAGGTGCCCGCCCTTGGCGGATTTATGATGAGCGACTACAAAGCTATTGTTTACCAGTTATCTCTTTAATTACTTTCCAGGGTCTTCACTGCCTGCTTTACTTAACGTAACTGAATTTCTCAAAACCAAGACATTCTCGTTACCTGTATTTTATGCCTCACAGTTGGAATTTTTCTGATAGTGAGTGGAAAATAACCATGAGATATGTGTAGACTGTACTGAAATGATAGAACTGTGGAAAGTTCCTTAGGAAGCCAGTGCTGTGCCACTGGAGACTGTACACAGAAACAGAATCTCCTCCACTAGCACTGTATGATCTCAGTGTAGAATTGAGCCAAAGCTGTCTTCCAACCAGATAGAAGCATATACACGTGTCTGAATTTTTTCCCCCTCAGCCTATCAAAAATTGAATCAACATTCACAAAATGAAAGCATCATGATTCAAACAGTCACAAAAATGCTTTCATAGTGCTTGATTTGTAAATATTTTGGATGAAATGTATTGGAATAGTATGAAAATCAGCAGGAGATGTGAGTCCCTGCCTTATTTTCATATGCTATGGATACATCTCTGGGAGCTTGCAGCACCCTTCTCAAAACTCAGCTGTCATATGGAGCTCATTTGCTACTCGGACCATAGATAAATATTTAACATAAGTGATATAATGACCTTCAGTATTTTTCTATTGAACAAGTTTATCAATTTTTGCCATTAAACAGATAATTCGTTATGCAAAGTATTTAGCTTTTATAATCATTTTAGTTATGACTTAAAGGGGAGGAATTGAGCTGCATCACTGATAATGAACTTTGTGAGAAATTTTTTGTTTATCTGACATTCATTCCTTCAGTATTTCTGCTATAAATTTCTTTTGGAGATGATGATTTATTTGAAAATGTCTAAAATGTATGTATATTTTATAAATATATATTATATATATTGTAAGAATATATATAATATATATATATATATATATATATATATATATATATATATATATATATATATGAAACCATAGGTGCATTTTACTGTTTTGTATTTTCATTTTTGGAGGTAGTGTACACAGCAGGTAATGATGAGTATGAGTGTTGTGCTGTTTGCTTTTGCAATATAATATATAGTTCTAAATGTTTAAATTACTGTAAATACTATATTCATTATAGGCTAGCATGCTTATTTTAAAGATTGTCATTCTAGTTTATTAAAATCTGAATGTAAGAAAACTTGGCTATTCAAATGTGAATTGAAAAATATTTCATTCTCAGTACTCAACCATTTTCATTGAACATTCAGGATTTTTAACAAAACACATACCATCAAGAAGGCAATAGCTAGAGAATGAGAGGTGCCTTTAATAAAAATACAAACACAGCCTTACAGTGAGGATGAGGATTGAGTTTGGAAGTGGGGGTGAGAGAGAGAGGGAGAGAGTGTGTGTGTGGGGGCCAGTCTGTGAAGGTCCTGATTTGTGACCATCAATGTCTTTTTAATGTATCTGCTCAGCTTCTAGGACTTCAGGGCACATTTCATGCGCTGTCTTTGTGCTCTTCTCAGCACCATGTATACTTTCCAAGAATTTTGAATGTGAATTCCTAAAAATTTCAGTAGGGAAGAAAATAACTGTTTATTTCATTATAGTCAGGTTCAGGTAAAAGGAGAAATTATTGGTTCACCAAAATTATGGGATCTCATTAATGTTGGCTAAGTAAATGTAACTTATAAAAGCTCACTTTTTTTAGTACTTAATATATTTTCTCCTTACACAGAGCATGTCATGAAATTCTTATGGAATATTCAACTAGTAAAATTATTTTTAGTTTAAACACCTGAACTAGTTAAAATTCCACCTAAGAATAGTATTTAAATGGCATCTTTCATATCTACCTCTTTGTCATTGCTGCCGTTTTAACTAAAGCAAATCTTTATGACATCTGAAATGATGGTTGGATACAAATTAAAAATCTATGTTGGTGCTTTTCTCAGGCTTTGTCATTTAAGTTAATATTGAATTAAGATGTCACAAATCAAATTGAAAGAATTAATTTTGGTTTTCTTTTGAAAGAACTTAAAATTTATTATCAATGTTGATAGTGAGTTGAGATAGTAAATCTCGAGTTAGTACATATGTCTGTGTGATGTTTTCAACCAAGAGCCAAACTGTTACTGAATTTATATGGAAAAAGCTGTTAAGTATAATTTTCTTCAGCTTACTTTGTTCTTCGAAAGCTAATTCAAGGCCATTAAATACATAGTCATTAATTTTATTTACTCAGCAATTGCCTCCATTACTATGTTACTTGTTTAGTTATTTATGTAATTGTAGACCTTTAAGTGTTTGACACTGGGATTCAGGTTGTACAAAAGTAGTAGCTGACAAAAATTATATGTATATTTTTGTGAAATGTATCAATTCCTAAAGTTCATTTTAGGGGAAGGTCCAGAAAACTAACATATGTGTGTATAAAAACAAAGGACAGGTCATTGGTAAATGATTTAAATAATTTTTACTCTTGCTACTGAAGGTTTTTTAATTGGCTGTATTCATTATTCAACTGAATCTCCATGTCAGCATAAGGGACGTAGGTTAACAAAGCATCTAACAAATTGTGTCAGTTTTTGGGGGGTATTTTTGTTTTTTGTTTGAATTCTAAAAACAAATATTAGTCAAAACAGAGATCCCTAGATCCCACTTATTTATTCTAGCAGTATTCCTGAAGTGGTGCTTTAGGGGTCAAACTTTTCTGTATCTTTGCTAATCAAGCTTTAGATTTGATTTAACTGGGACCACATGCTTACCATCCCTCTGATGCAAATTAGAAAGTTCATTTTAATTTAGATTAACTGTTAATGTCTGCCTGGGATTTTAACAGGCTGTGAACCAGTGAGTGCCTTGTTAATGAAGAATGATTTTTCCCTGGTTGTGTGTTAGCTCCTCTCTGAAAATGTCTCAGAGAATGGTGTTTTAGTTGATTTGTAGAGAGCTGCTAAATTTGGTGTTATCAGCAATCAGAAAAGTCTTCATTGTACCACATAACCTCCCTCCTTACTTTCTTCTCATTGTTTGGCTGAAGTTTGCCTCTTGTGAGAAACAAATAGAACCCATCTTCTCTGCAGTTTGTTCCAATCCAGATTAAGAGGTATCCCCTACACCCATCCCAACTATATGATCTAGTAAACGTTTTTAGGGGGAACCACTTCTTCGTAATCCTGAAATCTATTGGTTATTTTATGTCTTCTCAACTTCAGTTTACTAGAGCTGACCTCAGGGCATCATCAGTTCAGATTCCTAAATAATTCCTTTTCTCTACAGCCCCACACTCCCCCAACTGGTGAACCCTGGACCAGATTGTTTGATCTTCAGGTATTTTAAATTTTAGTTACATCAATTAATGTAAATTAATCCAAATGCTAATTTTTGTGGTGCAAGAAGTTTCTTTTGTAAATTCAGGGTATGGATAAGCTAAGATATCCTTTTTTGGTGGCTCTAAGTGTATTATTTGTTTTTAAATAAAGTGTACAAATATAGATAATGTGCTATAGGTGTCTCATGAATTGAAATATTTGTCAGGTTTGGAATCTAGTGGATTTGCACTTAAAATACTTTAATACAACCTGATTTTGTTATTTTTTTGGGGGGAGGTAGTAGAGAAGTACAGAGAAATAAAATGGTACTAGAGTAGATGTGAGTTCAAAATAATGACCCAATCTTATTAATTGTGAAGAAAGCAGAGAAATTTATCATTATAGAGAGGTTGGACCTTTGGAAAGCCAGTAAAATTAAAGTACCCCATAGATTGTATCAATGATCCTTTCAGGGACACGTATATTTTTTCAAGTGTTCAGTTACTTAATTTAAAAAAATTATACATGCGTATGTATAGAAATCTAATGTGTTTTTATTTTTTCTTTGTTTGGCTGCTTAACAGACAAGCGTAAGCCTTCCCCTTCCCCTTGCTCCTTCAAATCAACATTATTTTTCATGGGCTTCCCTGGCTTAGAACTCACAGTCTCTGTTCCAGTTTGGAGTCAATACTGTATGGAATGTAAAAGGTACCACCTCTGGTGTCCTTGAAACTATCCACTGTTTTTGATGTGTGTGCTGCTGTAGTAATGAGTGTTACATCCTTTGGTATGTACACATTTTTCAGTAATGTCAGAAATGTCCCTTTTGTTTTTTTGTTTTTTGTTTTTTTTAGCTAAGCCATCCTGCCACCTGTTGGCAGCTCAGTGGCAGCTCAGCTTGGGCCGGGCATCGGACCGTTGTTGCTCAGAGCTCACATTCTGAGTGAGCTCTTAACCAACTGAGCCACTTGGCCAGCCCCTCTTTTATTCCTTTTAATGAGTGCTGAGACATGATTTGCTTGGAGTTATTTTAGAGTAATCTAGCTCAGGCGGTCAAGAGGACTCCC